GGATTGCTGTAAGAAAGGCTGTCCTTTAAATAAATCAACAAATAAAAATGCAAATGTTAACATTTTCAGCCACAACTTTTCCCATCTTGAATGGGGAATGAAAATTTCACATTATATCGACAGCCAGCAGAGAGAACAATTAACAGCCTACACTGTGAATAAGAGAGATTAATTTGCCAACGTCTGGTTTTATCACTCGCATATGCAACTATATTGGACTTTTCGTGCTGTTAGTTCTCCTCAGGGAACAGAGAAAACTTGTCTCCTATCATGTTCACCACCTTATTCACTACCCCTCCCTACACACTCTTAATTCCTTAAAATGTTTATAAGCTGGGCATGGAGTAGAAGATTTTTTTTCTCCTTTTGAATCTTAAACGGTGTCTGATATTAAGAAAAAAACCATTTCCTTCAGAAGTTTTTGCTTACAGAAGATCTCTGTAGAAGCAAGAACTTAGTACAGACCAACATTTTAAGAGCAGAAATACATTTAGGCATCCAAGGTACTTGCATCTCAAAAGCAGCTACGGTATATGCAAAGTTAATGCTTTTTCACATCAGTGTTTTATTTATAAGCATTCAGTATAATGGATCTACTGTACAGCATGCTAGCGTGCACTATTAAGTATACTCCATGCATTACATTTTACATCAAATATTAATTTGCTGAAATGTCCCTGAATATTCATCTACCTCTTCTGAGATGTGTTGGGCAATTGGGTAAATCATTCTGGTTTTTAAATCCCCACCCAAACACAAATTAACACAATGTAATCAGTTGGTAAATTCCAAAAGGCCATTGTGAGCCAACTGATAATATGGGGAGTTATTTAATATACAAGTCGCATGAACTTTTAAACTGCATAAAAGGCCTGATCTAAAGCAGCAGCTAGAAAATTAAGGATTAATACTGGTTTCAGAGAAGTAGCCCTGTGAGTCTGTTTCAGCAAAAACGAGTCCGGTGGCAATTTAAAGACTAACAAATTAAGGTAGTAGGGCATTTTTTGAGCAGATGCTGAAGAAGAAGAAAAGGATACAGAGGTAGGAGTGTGACATCAGTGCTAATTAAATCAGAGTGGATGTGGCTCATCTCCAACTTCAGGTTATCAGCCAATTAAATTTATCTGACTGTACCTAAACTCAGAAGAAATTACTTTATTTAGTTGCTG